CAACGAGTAACCTAGAAGTGTACATAGTGTAAACATATACGTGAACACGGGAGTTGGCGAAAGTCAAAATCAGGGGGGGGGGGGGCGATTGTGTCTTTTTATTCACCAACATTGACATTATACACTAATGGACTTCAGGGCAAATTGTTCGTATCATCGAAAGTTCGTAACTGGAATGTTCGTAAGTCGGGAGTCTATAATATACAGCTGCCCTTGACTGGCTGTTGACTGTTGGCTACATGTCACGGCCACTGTTTAGCAGGATCTCATGATTCGACCTTTGAGAATTGAACGCGTTCCAAGAAATCACGAGGCGATTTTACCTCGTGCATGCCATTGAGTAGAGTTGTATCTGCTGTCTAAATTGGAATATGGCCAAAGACGCGTCACTGCTATATAAAGTGATGCTACATTTTTGATAGGACTGAATAATGCATGGCCGTATACCCAACAGACAACGCGCCCTGACCTTGATTTAAATACTCGACTGCGCTATTTGCCAATTATCAATATATCGTCTCAGAATAACTGTAATAAAAGATATCAAGTGAGAAGTTAAATATTATGACTCGTCGTAAATAAAGCACCAACGCACGAGCGATTTGTCAATCATCATTCGTAATATTGTGCCTTATCGTTGGCTCAACGCTCGTAGAAACAAGCGTGCAAAACATGGTATAACAGGCAACAACATCATAGTGTACAATGCCTGAAAAGATTGTGACTGGTTCTTAACTCATGTATATCTTCTCGCAAAACGTGCATGTACGTAACTAAATCGGAGGAACCAATTAGTTACCACGGCGATCCCTTACCACCTGAGGCTCAGCTTTTACGCACGACTTCATCACGCCTTGGGCATTTACTACCGATGGTACGTGTATAAACACATATCTAACCCCTGAGCACTGCAATCGCAACAATAGATCACGACGTAATGAAATCTAGAGAAACGTACCGCACGACCTAGCATACATGAACAATGTTTACCCCAACATGAGCACCTCGTTCCTAAAGGAACGTCGGTTGTAAAACGTAAGAATGCCACGAGAAAGACGGTGCAGATCCCGAGGACCATTATTGTCCACTGAAGCAACGCAATAACTATGATATAAAAAATGTACGCTGCTCCACCCTCCTGGCAGGAATTCGACGCCGGCTAGGAGTATATAAAAGCAAGGTGCTTCTCAACTGAACATACATCGTTGTTCAGCAACGAAACGACCGACAGGTATATAGAGAATAGATTCCATCCAACCGACAAACAAGACTGTAAGGTAGGAATATTATAATTTGACCAAATTAGATATTTGCACGCCCTTGTTAATTATTGATACTGCTGATAATATATTGCTCCATTCATTCTAGATGATGAATATAAGGTAGGAGTACGTGTATTATAATTTGACCAAATTAGATATTTGCACGTCTTTGTTAAATATTAATACTGCTGATAATATCCTGATAATATCTTACGCCATTCAATCTATGATGACTAGCTGTCATGCCTATTTTGGTAATTTACGTGCTAATGATGAGTTCACTTATTACCGGTCCTTTGCTACTGCACGGTACATATTTTAGTAAGAATGATGACTAAGCATGTAGTAGCTAACCCATTAAAATACAGTAATGAAAATAATTGCCTCATAAATATCCTGTAGGTTCATTAAGGGGGAACTTTAATAATGATAACAACGTAGTAGTTAAACGTGTAGTACACAAATCGTAATCAATTCTTGCAGATGAAGTTCTCAACAATAGTCGGTTGGACCCTGCTGGCCCTTTTATGTGTAAGTATGAAATGAACAAATTTGACACGTATATACTACGGGGCGCCATGCAGGACAGGCATTTTTGTACCTATAAACTTGACAAAAATGAGTTTTGTGAACACAAAACTCAATTCTGTCAATCCTGTCCCACAAAACTCAATTTTGTGAACACAAAACTCAATTCTGTCAAAGGTTTATTCCAATTTCCAGTTATTTCTAATGCGGACAGATATATCTGAAGCAGCGGATTTTTTGTTAGTTGCTAAATCGGGGTCCGTTAAACCGAGGGTGAAGTGTATTTATATCTAATCGAAGGCCGCCCTTTTTTCGGCAGAACCTGTGTCTCGCGTCACAACTGTCTAATGTGAAATGCCGTACGAAGCGCACGTAGACGAAATAGTCACATTGATATGCATGTTTAAGTGCGTATTTCGCATATGTGCAGAAAGATAGCGACATATGTAAACTGACGATAAATGGCTAACAGAGACATAGCCTCTAAGAGAACAGCTTGGAATTTATGGCAGTAGATATAGACACACCTTATCTTCACCCTTCATTGCTAAATATGTTTCAAGAACGCCGGCATATGATGCTTCTGCGCCGTCCTCCCCTATCAGAAAGAAAACACAAAGCGATGAACGTTCTTCTTATTTCTTGGTTTCGCAGTAGCTGCAGCTAGCTATCACCATATGTTTCCTGAAGATACCAATTTCAGATCTCATCTTAATATAATTTGATAACTGTTAACGAATAAATTCATTACACAGTAACATTCTGCTAAATTGACTTATTATTAATCAACTATATATTATATCGAAAATCTGTTCTTATATAAAAATCGCGTTTTATAAGTATTAGTTCACAATGCAGTAGTTCAACGGAGTTCGCGATAAAACCTGGGGTAAAACTTACATCCAAAGTACAAGCAACTCTTCGCTATACTGCTAATCGGTTTCGTATTCAACCTTACATTTATTTCTTATTGCCCGGCCCCTCACAACTACGACGCTGACTGAAACCCCAATATTAAAAACGTAGTGATACCGTCGCAAAGATCCCGTTATTTCCGTGCTCAGTAGTTTAATTAAATGAGGTTAATAAGGGTAAATTGTTTAAGGTTAAATAAATAATTACTTTACTGCGAGACCATGTTATACTACACTACTATACAATACTGTATACGTACGTACATGTGTTCAGGGAGCTAATAATGACAAAATTTGTCATTATAGTACTCCTGATATTTCGACTTACGAACAATTCGACTTACGAACGACCGCTCGGAACCGAACCTGTTCGTAAGTCGGGGAGTCTCATTCAGACAACGTGCCGAGACAATGATACATAATTTTTTAACCTTAAACATTTAACCCTTAAACTCATTTATTTAAACTACTGAGCACGGAAATAACGGGATCTTTGCGACGGTATCACTACGTTTTTAATATTGGGGTTTCA